CATAGCCATAGCCATAGCCATAGCCATAGCCATAGCCTAGCTGGGATATGAATAAGAAATAATTTGCAAGTACAATTCTATGAATTCGGATGATAACACATCCTTAGAAAATACAATCGGAACAAATCGTATTCAAATTTCAGTTAGTCTTCTTCTCTTTTTCTTGTTTCGATGGGCGTATAAGATACCTAAACGTCCATGCCGCAAATACAGTTGCATGTATAGGAGCAACCCAATAAACGAGTATATGCTCCTTGCTTATATGATCACCACGAGCATAAGCCCACCCCATTACCTGAATTCACCGTGTTAAACTATTAGTCAAATGTCTAAAATACCCAACTCTTACAACCAAATCTCTCAATTTAACTTCTACTTGGTGATATCATGAAATCATTCTGGTGCCTCCATAAAGACATGCAGAGGTGGGATGTATGCAAATCTGACATCTTCCTCATATGGTAGAACGGTTGTTTCCATAAAGACAAGAAAATAAGACGAGTGTTGAAGATGGCAGTACTTACAGAAGCTGGGTTCATGCATCCACCTGTTAGATCTGATCCAAGTATATGAAGAGCGAGTTTTGAGACACTACCGATCCAAGTTTTTCTGAAGAAACTTCCGGGTATTTTGCTAGAAAGTTCATGTGAGATCAACACAATTGCGAATGTCAATAACCCTTCTGTCAATGCACCTTGATAGAGACTAACAGTCAGTTGTGGCCCACGGCCTATTTGCGGAAAAGCATCAAGGATAAGCCGGACCCCTATTATTGATCCAAACACCTAAAATTCACAAGGAAATAAGAACATTGATTAGTGCTAACTGAGAAATTATCCCTCTGAAGAAGAAAAAGCCATGGTAGCCCAAGGAGTAGAGCTGTAAAAGTAAAAACGCAACATAATTTTGCAAGTCATTTGTCATATTCACTAATGAAGACTTTAAGGCACTTAGATATCAACTATTGGCTCTAATACCATGGAAGACTTCATGTTGTTTCTCATATTTCCTAATGAAGTAGAAGTAATATGCATGTCTCTAGTTGAACCTTAAGTTATACTCCTATGCATCTCCCCGTCAAATGGATAGGTTTGTGACAATAATGACACTTATCTAAGAGAAGATGGTTGGAGAATTCTTGTGAACCACAAACCATGACGCCAATTTGGGTCCTTTCAGTTGCCAACATCTTGACAGAGGCACTTGAAGGGTCACGGATTATCCATATGTGTAACAAGTTGGGCATGATTCACATATTTTCTTCAATTTGATAAGGTTCGTAAGAGATAAAGAATTATCATTGTTTTTATTCTTCGAAACACTTGGCCCCGATATGCTATGGCGTTGTACCATGAACAAAGCTTTGATAACATGATAGAATATATATTGGGGAGGATGATCATATCTCATTTATTAGAAAACCGTTCCTATGAGTGCGTATTACATCAAGTAAGCAAAACCACGATAAAGACTAAAAATAGGATGGCACTTGTCTCTAACAGAAATATGCCAAATTATGGAAGCTCACTCCATCCTTGTACGTTTTAAGAGAGCTTAGGAGGGAATAGATTATCGGGTACATCCACAAGAGACGTTACTAGCATGGGAAGATATTCGCACCAAGTGAGTAATACAAGAAAGAGAATCACCACGGAGCGAGAAAATTGTGAGAATTTGAAGGAAGTTTATGGTGCGCCAAGTCTAAAGAGAAATCTAAGTCTCACTTCAAAATCAGGTGTTATTATAGTGGCAAGCTTGGCCACAAGAAATTTGAGTGCAATATTATCAAGAAACCAAATCTAGGAATGACAAACTTGGCATGGTTTTACCTCCATCTTGAATGGTTTTCAATGCTAAGGAGTTGTTTTGTATTGGCTTAATGGACTTAATGGCTTGTATAGCTTATTCGGTAAGTCATACATAAGTGTTTGGTCGTGACTTATTCAGTAAGAGAATGACTTATTTGGTAAGCTCAGTGACCCTAGCTATATCCATTAAGCCAAGAAAATGATTCCTCCCCCTCCCTCAAAACAGACGCCTTCCTCCTAAAATCAATTGACATCTTTCATCTTCATCCCCATCCCTTCTCGATCAGAAGCCATGGCTGGAATCTATGCTCCACAAGACTGGTGCGATTTTGTTCCAATCCCCCTCAATCTACACGCTAGTGGCCGCCTCCTCTTGTCATTCTCCCAAAGCCCACCCCTTCCACCCCCTTCCCCCAATAGATGCTAATAACTCCTGCTGCAGTCTCCTTGGTCATCATCTACAAATCTGAGGAGAAGTTCATCTGGTTTTCGATCTATGCTAAAGACTTTGACCCAAGAAATTAATCAGTCAAGAGAGCAGTGAAAGGTATTGAGATTTATGTGTTGTATTTTAGTGTATAAAACCAATTTACAAAGGGGCTATATATAGCCAGGATGTATACATGGATAGGAGACTAATTAGRAGCTAAATTAGGTAAACATTTACAGCTACATTTTACATGGAAATGATTACTATAACAGTTATGGAAAGAATAAATTAAATCAATGATTTAATTTATTCTTGATATGTAATAAATACGAACAAAGAATCCCGGGGCCATAGAAATAATACCAGAGCACGAAACATACAGCGTCCATCACCAGTAACCTTGTGCACCCTAAAACTCTCCACTTTGCTCAATGCTGGTGAAACTTGCCTAATTTTAAAGGAAAAAAGAAATTAAAATGAATTTAATGGGCAATTCGAACATCTTAAGAGTCTGTCAACATTGCAATTTTCAGTTGAACTGAAAACTAAGCTGTGAACAAATGGCAACAGGGACTTGTTTTCTAACATGTATATGAGAGAAAACACCCAATTTGGTACCATAAAACATGTATTATTCCCCTAACTAAAAACTGAATAATCTGATCACAATTGGAAAAGATAATAATCCTGTTCAGACTACACCATGCTTCAAATCGACAACACAAAAATTAACTGCTCAGAGTCAAAGCGCACTTACATTGTTGGCCCAATTCGAGCAAAGAATCGATGTGCATTTTCAGTAGTAAAAATAGATTGTATCGAATTCCGAGAAACGTTGGCAGAAATCGAAGGGACCGGAGAAGAGACGAGTTCAAACTCCGCCACCCCATTTATCAGCTGTTCAAGGATAACTCCTGCAGTGAAAAACAAAACAGGTTCTCGCTAAATGGAGCATGTTTCCAGCAGAAGAAAAGTGATGAAGAAGAAGAAGAAGAGATTGGCGATGTTACTGTTAGAGGGTTTGGCTGCCATGATTTCTTCTTCCTTCTGACTACTTGGAAGTTGGAACGAACGACCGGCGGACCGGTGGCCGGATAAGGAGATTTAACATTAATAGTCGGTCGTAATAGAGTGAATTACAATTTTAGTCCCTATGGTTTGTTAGTAATTTTGATTTTCGTCCCTGAGTTTAGGAGATTACGATTTTCATCCCTATGTTTTGTAATTTATTGTTATTTTCGTTGTTGGACTAACTCCTACATTTACGTATAACTGTATAAGGGACCACATTAGTAAAAATTGTAAACCACAGATACCGAAGCAACAATAAATAATAATCATAAGAATAAATTAGCAATTAATTACAAATTACAGGGACGAAAACTTAATCTTTAAACCACATGGACGAAAATCATAATTTTAAACAAACCACAAGGACAAAAAAATGTAACTTACTCTTGGTAAAAATATGATTTTCTAAAGTGTAAACTAAGATTTTACCTTTTTTGTGCTTTTGAAATTACAGTTTTCGTTCTTGTGGTAATTCATTGTTGTTTTCACCTCTTAATACTTAACGGTAAACCATTGATGGAAAGTCGCAATACTTAACAAACCACAAGGGCGAAAATCGTAGTTTACTCTATAAAGAATTTACAAAAAGTCTTTATCTAACTATCTTAGGGGTTGTTTGTTTGGTTTTTCATTAAGTCTTGTATGGATAAAGTTGTTGGCATGGATTAATCTGTATGTATAAATTAGAAAGATTTTTGTTTGCTAGGGTCTTTTCATAAATAGAATGAACGTATTTTTAATTGGGAGACAGATTTGGGAAAAAAACTTGTCTTTTCTGCATAAAGCTCCCCTCTGAAAAGTTATAATACAAGTCATTATCTATATCATCAATCCACTACCAAACAGTATATATAACATTGCTTATTGAATAAGCTACTAGCAAATAGGCCTTTAGACATATATCTCAACAATTATTTAGTATCTTAGACTCATATTCACATTAATGATTTTAAAATTCAAGAGTACAACATATTAACATGTATAAAACATGAAAGTATGTCCTACATAGGTGGATCAACAAAAGGTGTATTGGATTTCATGACTATAGAATGAGTTCAATCGTTTGGTTTCAAAACGTCTCGGTCAAATACACTTCAAGTGTCTTTTTTTCTTATCTTTATTATTATTATTTTTTGGTTATACAGAATGTAGAAAGATGAGATAAATTAATGAACAATGTGATTATCATTGGGGGGTAGTTGAAGAGATCAATTGTAATTTCCAGGTTTGTGTTCAAAATGTGAAACATCATAAAAGTTTAAGAGCATAACAAGAGAAATTGAAACTTGGACACAAACATGTTACCAAAAGAGGGCAAAGAGAAACACGGAGGAATAGTAAGCAAGGAAGCAAACAAGAGGGTTAACAGTATTCAGATAGCATTTGGTATGCAAACATGATTGGATAGAAATGGATAGGACAAAAGGACACGACTAGACTGGACAAGAGTCACAAGACAGACATGACAAGTCGTATGGTTGGTGTTTGTTACGACTAAGGATGGATAGGTTAGGATTAAACAAGTTGCCCCTAAAAATTGTTTCATGATTTTACATATCATATAATAGTTATAAATGACATAAATCGAGTAAATATTTAAATAATTTAATTTATAAACATTTTTACACAATTCTCATATACATAAATACATACACACACACATATATTATATATAACAGTACCAAATTTGAATGAAAAATTTGATATAACTTATAATAATTCCAAAAAGACTTGGTTAGTACAAAGGAAAATTTATATTTTATTCGGTATGGAAAATCCTTATGACTTGACGGAGGCATGGTGGGTGAGGAAGAAACATTGGTGAATGGTGGATGATGGTAACTGTGAGGTGTGAAGATGGTGGACACCGGTGGTGGTGGCGGTCGATAATGGTGGAGGTAGAGGATGTGGTGGGTGGCGGTATTGGTAGTTGATTGTGGTGGTGATGGACAAGGGTGACTGTGGATGATGCAAATATGGTGGACAAGAGTCACGATGGAGGTTGTTGCATCGACAATGATAGTTGAGGTAGAGATGGTGGTAGTTGGTGGATGACTATGTAAGATGTGAAGATGGTGGATAGTGGTGGTAGTTGGTGGATGACTATGTAAGATGTGAAGATGGTGGATA